GGGAGACAGAGGAGATTGGTTTCTGTAATACCCTTGTCCCAAGGCTAAGTAAGCTCTTTGCAGATCAGTCACAGGACAGCTGCACAACTTTTCCTTGCAGGCAGGCCTGGCACACAGGCCATTTATCCTGTTCCATACCCTGGCTTGTGAGCTGTGAAGATGAGCTCAGGAACTATATTTGCCTCCCTGTCTAGTTGGATCTTTCTATAGATCACACCCCATGTCCCCTTCTCCTTGGCACCCATGCCAGAAACTAGTAAGCAAAGGAGGGTATAAAAATCAGTGGCTGGAGGTCTATCAGGAGTACCTTGAACTAACGGTCCCCATTGGGAACAGGTGCTCTGGGGGCAAGCAGGGACACTGCACCATCACAGCCTAGGCATTTAGCTCCTGACACTCCTCCTCCCATCACCCTGGTCTACATGTTTCACCAGGGGGGTGAATTATTTACCTTCATACTTTACTCACTGAAGGCCTGATCCAAAGCCCAGTGAAGATAACCGTCACCTTCCCACTGACTCTCAATGAGCTGTACATCAGCCCCCTCATCAAGCCCCTTTTGTTTCTAGTCAATTTTGCTTTTCTTCCACTTTTCCTCCTACTTGGCTTTATTTTTTGTAGCTATCCCATGCCCTTTCTTGGCTCTCCTGTCCTACAGCAAGGCTGTAAGGTTTGGGCTGTGAACACTACACAGAATGATTAAAAACAAATGACACACTTAAAAGAAAACCTACCTGTTTCACTGGTATTTTAAAAAACAATCCTAGAAAAAATTGTGACCAATGATGTTTGTCAGTAATCTCTATTTCATAACCAAGGAAGATGAACATGGGGGGGCTTAAATGGAGGCCTTGACTATACAGCAAAATTATTTTGTTCTAACCCCAAATGAACAGTTATACAAGTACAGCAGCAAATGAAGAAACCCTTATTTCAATAGAAGAGTGTCCACACAGGCAGTGATAACTATTGCTACGTCTTGACTGCAGAGTTCACTTGGGTGATTGATCGGCATCCTAGACTGCAAGGCACAGTGCCAAGTGACTGGATCCTCTGGCGCTCTACACTCCTCTGCAGGATGTTGGTCATACTGTGGTGTATTGCTAGGACTTTTGGAGGAAACATCCTTTGCTCCTTAGCACAACAGTAAGCTAAGATATTCTAGAACTTTTTCCCCAATGAATTGTGGAAAAATTGGTCCGCCTTTTTAGGCACGCCATGAGAACTGCAGGAAGGCATTGGAAGACTAGCAGCATCCAAGTGACTTTAAATTCTCCCTACAAAGTGGTCAGGTTACTAGCCAAACTTAAAGCTAAATCTGGAGCCCAGCACAAAGTCCTAGCCAGGCCAGCTAGCCTGTGTTGAAACCTTCATTGTACATGTCTGAGGGTTTTGAGTGGGGAGGAAAGGGAGGGATTGGGGCAACATTCAGGTAAGAATCCAGCTACATCTGCAGTGAAGATATACTTTGCAAGTACATAATTATGCATATCTAACTGGTTAAACCTTCCCTCCTAGGCAAGACCTCACAGGGGAGGAAAAAAGACTCCACCCAAACCATCTTTTAACACTCTGAACAATGGACAAGCCCATTAAAAAGAAAGCAGCTTGATTACCAGCAGAAAGATTTGCAGAATGGCCAGTGAAAGACTGCACTTGATGCCTAGGGGCATGGGACCTCCCACTGCTGAAGTCTGGAGAGTCAACTGTCTGAGAGAAAATCTCTTTGTGGGGGCAGGGGGGAGGTGACCTCATATGAGATTCTGGTTAGTGAAAGGACAAATGGTTTCACCCAGGCACTTTTAACTGCTGAAATCTGCTTTGATTTTACCACAACAGCACTAGGATCATAGGGCACCTATACACGTGCATTGAGGCTGCTCTGATGCACTGCAATTAATCATAATTACTGTGCTCCAGCAGACTCCAGCATCACATCCATCAGTGTCCTTGTGCTAAAAAATGGTGGTGGGGGCGAGCTTTACTTAAAGTGCCCCCACCGCCATTTTTCAGCGCAGGTACGCTACTACAGCTGATGCTCCGGGCGCTTTAATTAGAGCAGCTCTTGTACTTTAATTACAGTACCCCTTCTACTGCCTCCTGGAGCACATGTATAAACACCCTTAATTCCCAAGGCTTGTGTCTACTAGAGATTTTTACTATTAGTCACTTGATTGTTGACTAGGTCAAGATACTTAACACATTTACTCTACAAGATGACTGGGCTGATCTGCTCCATCTCTAGATCACAACTTGCACCTGGTTTCATAGAATCATAGAAGTAGGGTCGGAAGGGACCTTGTAGATCTTCAAGTCCAACCCCCTGCCTGGGCAGGAGGGAAACTGGGCTCAAATGACCCCGGCCAGGTAGGCATCGAGCCACTTCTTAAAGACCCCCAGGGTAGGTGCCAGCACCACTTCCCTTGGAAGTTGGTTCCAGATCCTAGCCGCCCTAACTGTGAAGTAGTTCTTACGGATGTCTAATCTGAACCTACTCTCCAACAACTTGTGGCCGTTATTCCTTGTTATCCCGGGGGGCGCTAGGGGAAACAAGGTCTCCCCCAAACCCTTCTGGTCCCCCCTAGTGAGTTTATAGACGGTCACAAGGTCCCCCCTCAGCCTTCTCTTGTGAAGGCTGAACAGGTTCAGGTCCCGTAGCCTCTCATTGTAGGGTCTGCCCTGCTGTCCCCAGATCATGTGGGTGGCCCTCCTCTGGGCCCTCCCCTCTCAATGTTCATCTTGGAGTCAGTGAGGACTCCAAGATCCCTTTCAGCCTCTGTGCTCTCAAGAAGGGAGTTTCCCATCTTATAAGTGTGTTGCCGGTTACTACTGCCCAAGTGCAGCACTCTGCACTTATCTGTATTGAAACGCATCCTGCTTTTGTTAGCCCACCCTTGCAACCTAACCAGGTCTTTCTGCAGTCTTTCCCTCCGTACTAGCATGCCCACCTCACCCCAAATTTTGGTATCATCAGCAAATTTGAACAGGTTACTTTTCACCCCGCTGTCCAAATCGCTGATAAAGAAATTGAACAGTGTGGGCCCAAGGACCGAGCCCTGGGGGACTCCACTGCCCACTTCCTCCCAGGTCGAATATGACCCATCCACCACCACTCTCTGAGTATGACCCTTCAGCTAATTAGCAATCCATCTGACGGTGGAGGCTGCATCCAATGCTTTTGTGGCCTGATCGTAAAAGACAATCAGGTTGGTCTGACATGACCTACCCCTAATGAAGCCATGCTGGTTGCCCTTGAGCATCATCCCTGATGCCGGCCCGTCACAGATGTGCTCCTTGATGATCTTCTCAAAGAGTTTCCCCAGGATTGAGGTAAGACTGACGGGCCTATAGTTGCCCGGGTCCTCCCTTTCTTAAAGATGGGGACCACATTGGCTATCTTCCAATCATCTGGCACCTGGCCTGAGCACCACGAGTGCTCGTAAAGCCGTGCCAAGGGCCTAGCAATAGCCCCTGCTAGCTCCCTCAACACCCTGGGGTGGAGAGCATTTGGACCTGCTGACTTGAACACGTCCAGCCCCTCCAGAAGCACTCTAACCCGGTCCACCTCAACCTTAAGTCTTGAGGCATTCCCCTCGAGTCTGTCTTGAAACACCGTGGGGGAGTTCCAGTCCCTGCACAAGAAAATGGAGGTGAAGAATTTGTTAAAGATGTCTGCCTTCTCCTCTGGCGCAACTATCAGATTGCCCAGCACATCTTGCAGGGGCCCCACATTTCCTGGTGCCTTCTTCATCCTCCCTATATATTTGAAAAAGGACTTTTTATTATCTTTGATCTTGGACGCTAGTACTAGCTCTATGTCTGCCTTAGCTTTCCTAACAGCCCCCCTACAGGCCCAAGCAGTGGAGGTATACTCTTCTTTGGAGATAGCCAGCCCCCCCCTTCCACCGGGTGTACGCTGCCTTTTTGGGTTTCCATGGTCCAGGGTTTCCATGGCCCTGGACAGCAAATGTTTTCACTAGCTGTTTTTGGCAAAGAGGGGTAAAAAACAATTTTAAAATGACCTTAAATCATCTTTTCCTATCACCCCTTTTACACTTGAAGGACAAGGCCTCTCTTCATTCTTGACCTGAGGAGATTTCATTCATCTCAGAATCATAGCATCATAGAAAATTAGAGTTGGAAGGGACCTCAAGAGATCATCTAGTCCAACCCCCAGTGCAAAGCAGGACCAGCCCCAATTAGATCATTCCTGCCAGGACTTTGTCAAGCTGGGCCTTAAAAACCTCCAAGGATAGAGATTCTACTACCACTCTAGGTAACCTGTTCCAGTGCTTCAACACCCTCCTAGAGAGAAAGTTTTTCCTAATATCCAACCTAAACTTTCCTGGCTGCAACTTGAGACCATTGCTCCTTGTTCTGTCATCTGCCATCACTGAGAACAGTTTAGGTCTAATCTTCTTTATGTCCTGGCAGAAAGCAAATTAAAGATGAAAAAATGCATATACTCAGGCAGACAGGAGGCAAAAGACCATCATGGGGAAGTGGAGAGATGGGAATTCATACTCAATTTATGCTAAAAAAAGTTCCCCTTTCAAGGACTGTGTGACATGGGCACTAACATAGCTACCACGATCCGAGACCATCATTGAAGGTTTGAGCCTAGGATCTTCAGCACCAAAACCACAGACTTCCACCACTTAAAGTTAGGGAGAACCTAACAATGACAGCATGAGCTACATTTCAAAGATAGCATGAGTGCATTCATTGAGCCACTGTATTAGACTTCACCAAAACCTTTATCAAAAACATGCCGTACTTTAGTTAAAAACTTGAGGAGTCTTTTCTGAAAAAGTTTCTTTTAAATGCCACTTTGATCCACTTTTCTTATTCCTCTTTGCTTTTCTTTGCCAAACATATTTAACCTGAGCTGCTGCATCATTTGGGATCTCTCTCACAGCAGCACACATGGCAGACCTGATGGTTGACAGACATCTTCCTTCTCCCCAGGGTGATAAAACTCCCCCAGCTGTTCTCCTTACCGTACATCTTGCCCTCATCCGACAGGATGATCTTCCGCCGCCCACATGGCGGGTAAATGGCTAGCGCTTCCTGGAAGCTCTGCTCAATGTCCGGACTCCACACACCCTCAGCATCATTGTCGATTGGCTTGTCCAAGGCCTCACTGCCCCCTGAGTCGTTGCTCCCCTCAGGGGAGGTGGGAGAACTCCACTCGTTGGAGGTAATGGTGCCAGTTAGAAACTCCAAGGCGCCACTTGGAGAAGCAGCCACCAAACCTAAAAGGGCAAACATACTCCGTCTCACTCAGTGAATCTTTTCACCATGAACGCTAACAGAGTATAAGAAAAACAGCTCGGTGTTGCCCCTGTTTTGAGACCCTGGGCTGGTCACAGGCCTTTGGCTCTTCCAGGATCAGACTGTGAAGACTGTCTTTAGTTGACACAATAAAATATGCAGAAATGCACACAAGATCTCCACCAACCAGAAGAGAACCTTCTCCTCGGCAGCAGGCTCTGCTCAGAATAGCCTTCCTGGTATTGCCTGTGTTCATTAGCTTGCCATCTACTTCCAGTTCTTATCAGAAAACACACCCACTCTCTTCCTTGCCCTTGTTTTTAATTTCT